TGAAGAGTGACCCCTATGCCCAGGCTGCCCTCCCTGGACTGTGGGGTCTCTCTCCACAGCAAGGCACCAGAGCACCTGCCCCTTGTCTCCTCTGCCTGCCCCCCCAAGCCTATGTCACCAAAAATCGTCCATTGATCCAGGCTTAAAATAACCCCTGGCATCTGCAGCGAGCCCCGTGGGGCGGGCAGAGGAGCAGTGTCTCTGCGCCTGAAGGGCACCTGCCCCACCCCCAGCGCTGAGTGCTGGCAGCTTGAGTGTGCGGGTGTCTGAGGTGCTCACGAATGTGAGTGAGAGTGTGTTTGTCTGGGGCTGGCGTGACTATGAGGGCCTTCCCAGCACCGTGGGCATGTGTATACATGCACGTGTCAGTGTGGATGCCCCTGTGCACACACATTCTTCCCTCACTGTTGAGCTCTCTCCCGGGGCCCAGCTCTGCTATGCAAACCTCAGAGTCCTGAGAGGTCATGGACATTAGGGAAAGCCTGTGTTGGGCTTCACTGTCCCCATTTTAGATGGTGGGTGACCAGTCTGCCCAGCCCTGGGCTAGGGGATTTGGGATTTCCTAGAAACTCTAGATCCAGACAGGGGAAATGATTTTCTATGACTGGCACACATCCAGGAAGGGCCAGGTTCTGGCCTGGAACCTGCACTGTGAGCCCCGAATCTACCTTCTGGCCAGTGCAGTGCAGAGTGAGCAGCTGGAGGAGCCCAGCCCAGAGCCCAGGGAAGTGTTCCTACACCCTGACGGCGCACCAATGCCGGCACAATGCCTGCCCCATGCCTGACCCGCCCTGACTCCTACAGGAGCCCACAGGCTGTTCCCGCTTCCTGGAATGCCTTGCTAGCCCCTCACACCGAGAGTTCCTACTATTCTTCATTTTGGAGTCAGACTAACATGGGTTGGAATTCCTGCTCTAACAGGGCCATTCAACCTTTCTAGGCCTCAGTTTTCTCATCTGCAAGTTGGGCTGCTAGCACCTCTTCACAGGGTTGCAGGGAGAAGCCAATAGTCCCCCCCACTGAGAAACACCCAGGTACATGCGGCCTCGCGGGAGTCCCCACCCCAGCTGTGCTGAGAAGATGGCGGTTGCCCACATGGGTGCCATCCACAAGCCTCAAAGGCCTCATTCCCAGGCCCATTTTGCTTCCATTTCCTCCATGATGGAGGGTTGCCCAAGAAGCAGACTCCAGGGGACTATGGACTCCCTGCTAGCGCAGATGCGATGCCAGTACCGGGAGGGGGTCTGGGGGGAGGGCCCACGGCTCCTTTGTCTCCCTGAGAGGCAGCTCGTGACTCAGGCTCCAGCTGCTTGTGGGAAGGAGGGAGCGCCCGGGCTCCTGAGGTCGCGAGGGAGCCGCGGAATGGGGCGGGGGGTGCTGGGAGCTGGGGCTCGGCTTCCGGGCCCACTGCCCCACGTACGCTGTCCCCCGGCCCTCCTCTCCCTGCCTCGGGGAGTCCCGCTCCAGACGTCACAGCTAATCCCTCTGCCCGAATTACCCACCCCGATTGGTCTCCCCCTTCAGGACCCTCCAAAGGCCCCAGGGAACGTGCATTCCGGAGCTGGCCGTTGAGTCCGCAGCGCGGGAACAGACCCAGAGAGGACAGAGCCCGGCGGAGGCCACACAGCTCGCCCACCCGGGACGGGTCCGCCCTGCCCCGCCGGCCCCTGCGTTCCTGGGACACAACTCAGAAGTCAGCTCCAGCCGAGAGCCCGGGGGGAGGCGTCCTGCGCCCACTCCCCCACACACAGTGCCCCGAAGTCAGGGCCGTGCCCTGCATCCGGGCCCCTCCTGGTTCGGGACGCGCATCAGGTAGCGGACCCCGCGTGACCGCGGAGACCCAGAGTTCGGCGAGTGCACCTTTGGTCTTGGTCCCGCCGCTCACCCGGTGCCTGCCTTCTTCCTCGCCGCTGGGCTTTCAACCCCCTCCTTCCCCCTTGCCTCTGGCCCCGCCCCTTTCCTGCAACCCTCGGTTCCGCCCCTTTCCTTTGCCCTGGCCCCACCCCCTCCGGCCCGCAGCCCCGCCTCCCGGCGCCAGGCGGCAGGCGGTCAAGGTGCCACCGCCAGGGCTGACCGCAGCAGCCGCGGAGGTAGACTTTCGCCTGCCCCGGCGGGTCGCTGGCACCGTCCTGGATCCGGGCAGGACGCCCGAGGCTGGATCCCAGATTCTGCGTAGCTCAGGAAGTGAGGAGATGCTCATAGGCCCTCTGGGCTCCGGGACCCCTGAAGCGTCCCCTGGGCAGCGTCCCCGCCCTGCAGAGTCCCGGGAAAGAGCACGGGCCGGCCAAGAACACGACACCTGTGTCTTCCTGGATCCTCCCGGACACTCCGGGTGACCTTGGGCAGTTGTTCCTACCCCCACTCACCCCCCCACCCCCACGCCTACTCCCTGCTCCAGGTGGGGACCAGGCAGCTGGGGGCCAGCACCGACTGGAGAGAGTCACATGTCAGCTCTGGGAGAGGAAGAATTTGGCCTGAGCCATCCACGACAGGGCAAACGGCAGTGAGCTCCCACCCTGTGCCCAGAGGAGTGCCAGAGGGGTCTGGTGGCCTCTCAGGGGGGACAGGGAAGGGTGAGACACCAAATAGTGGGGCTAGAGGAGCACCGGGTCCCCTGAGGGTGCATGGCCCTGTGTGCCACGGGACAGGCACGGTCACAGGGAAGGTTCTGACACAGACTCATCTGGCACTCAGAGGCCATGGTGCCCAACTCTCTAGCCCCTCCCCCTGCCTCCTGCTTCTCTGTCCTCCTGCCCCCTCTCCTCTGCACCTTTGCATAGTTCCCTGGGCCAGGAATGCCCTTTCTCTGCTCCATTCCCCCAGAAAGCTGGGCAGGACTCAGGGCATACCTCCTACTCTCCAAGTACTCCCTGGATGATGGAGTGGTCACCTCCCTGCTTGGGGCATTCCCCGGGCCCTGGCAAGGATCACCCTGTCCTCTCATTGTGTCCCACTCTGTCTCTCCCATTGGATTATGACCAGCAGGGCCTGAGGCTGACCTCCCTCCAGGCTCTGCCCAGAATGGCCCTGGCACAGAGCAGGCATGTCCAGGATCTGGTATGATCAATGGGGCAGTAAATGGATGAGGGACGGGGTGGTAACTGCTGAGACCAGAGCCTCAGACCAGCTCTGGGAAACTCACTTCCCAGGGGGAATTCCTGAGGGTTGGGAGCTCTGGGCAGGAAGTATCTGTGTCCCTGGGTGGAGACCTTACTTGCCATATGACCTTTTTAATCTGGGACAGCTGGTTGGCCCTCAGGCTCCATTTTGAAGATGGGGAGACAAGCCCAGAGAGATGCCACCAGCTTCTAAAGGGAAGAGCTGTGCAGGGGCCATGGTTGCTGAGACAGAGGGAGGTAAGGGGTCCCGTCCTTCCTCCCTGTCCTCCCCAGCTGGGCCTCCCCACCCCCACCCGGGGCCCAGAGCCCAGGGCAACGGGACAGGAAGTGAAAGGTGCCTGCAGGAAGCCCCAGGAGGAACTGAGACTTCAGCCAGGCCCGCCCCCACCTGCCAGGGCCCTGGGGACCTCGGGGAAACCAGACCCTCTTTCAGGAAAAACTGGCCAGAAACACAGGCTAGGGGGAAGGGGGTGGGGAGCTGCTTCCCTGGGTTCCTACCCCAACAAGCAGTTCTTCCAGAGTCTATCTTGGCTCCCTCTTACTGCAAAAAGAGACCAGCTGGGGAGAGAAATCTTTGAGTAGTGATGAAGACAAGGAAAGCCTGGAATCGACCCCTGGAGGTGGTCACTCCCAAGGAGGGCACCTGGGCCAATGACCTTCTAGACAGGCGCCTGGGGCAGGGGCAGGAGCCTAGGTCCAGCCCAGCTCCATCACTGCTTATCTTGGGCCAGATCCCTTCACCTCTCTGGGCCTCTTTCTTCCTATCTGCAAAATGGGCCATATAATCCCTGCCCGTGGACGTGAAGTGGTCCAGATTTTCAGAAAAGCAATTCGACCAACAGGGACCTTAAAAAAGTTCAAGGCCTCTGGTTGCAGTGACTCTCCTTCTGGGAAACAGAGACTCAGACAAAGCTTTATGTACAAGGAGGCCCTCCTGCCTCAGTTACAGTAGTAAAAACCCCAAATAACCAAGTGCTCAGGTGGAACACTTTACAAATGCCGAAAACTTTGTTTGTGAAGTGTTTGAAAACAAGAGAAGACTCACCAAATGCGATGGTCAAGAGCTGGCTTTATCTGTATAGAATGATTACAATTCTGTAGGAGAACCCACCCCTCAGGGGCCTGGCTTCACTGGATTATGGGTCATTTCTCCATAGACTCCACCCTGGATTACTGTCCAGAACTTTCCAAAGTGTCTACAAATAAAAAATGCTTTTTAAAAGCAAACACAAACACCCACGTCCCTCCTCCAAGTGCTGTCATGAAGATCAAACGCAGTGACCTCATGAAGGCTCCTTGGAAAGCAACACCTAGGACAGAAGGCTGGCGACTAGAGGTCCCTTGGAGGTGGGGCCCTTTTCTGGGCTGGGGGAGACTGACCCCCTCCTTGCCCACCTCTCCCTGGGCCTCTGCTCCTGGTTCTTCCCCAAGGAACTTTCCTTCTATTATTTGCTGGATGACAACGATGCCAAGTCTCCTCCCTCTCTGGGCCTCAGTTTCCTCATCTGTAAAATGGGGAAGTGAGGGTTCCCTAAGTTTCTTTCCAGTCCTTCTCCTCTGAGGGCCATAGGCCGGGAGGAGAACTTTGTATCCAACCCCCATTTTTCAGAAAAGGAAACTGAGACCAGAGGGGAAGCTGCATACCAGCCAGAGGTTCAGCCGGGACCCAGTGGTGCCAGAGCTTTGCATGTCTGGGCCCCAGAGGGGTTTCACCCACTTGTTTTGCCTCCAGGGCCCAGCCGCCCCTGGCTGTGGTGGAAAAGGTGGAGTGGGAGATAAGGGTGGCTGGGAACAGCTCATACTCCCCCAACCCTTAGATGGAGGGGAGTGGATGGCTGGGCCCTTTCTGGGCCTGCCCCCCACCTTCCTGCCTACTGCCTGCCACCTGACCTCACTCCAGCCACCTGGCAGCCTGGGGGGAGGGGCATCTGAGATGGGCTCAGGGAGGGAACAGCTAGGAAGAGACCTCGATGTGAGTGTCCAGATCTTGGGGGCTCCAAAGCTGCTGGCCGCTGTCTTCTGAGTTGGGAAAGGGGTGGACAGGAAGGGCAGGTGTCTGCCAGGCAGCTCTGATGGGCAGGTCAGGAAAGGGTAGGCAGAAAGCATCTCATGCATGGAACAGAACGTGTCCAAGGCCCTACAGTGGGAGAAAATGGTACCCAGAACTCCATCTTCTGACTCCCAGTCCAGTGCTCCTTCCAAGGGTGCTAAGCCGTGACAAGTTCCAAGGACACTGTCCAGGGCAGAGTCCAGGTCAGGAGGTTTTAACCCTGTGTCGGAGAGCCAGCAGGAGAGGAAGCAGCTGACCAAGTGTACAGTGTGGTCCAGTACTGAAAGAGAAGGTCTTCACTCCAGGCCCCAAACAAGGGACACTGCTGTCAGAGGAGTAGTTCCACTGGGATGGTGGGTGACTCCAGGGGCTGGCACAGTACGGCCAAGTGGCCCCAGCACTCAGAGCCTAGTGCTTGAGGAGGGCAGGCCACAGAGAGAAGGGAGCTCAAGGGACATCAGGTCCAGCTGGTTCAAGGCCACAGGCCTGCCCTGGCCTCTGTACAAAGGAGCCTCCTGTAGGTCCTGAGCCCTGCCCTGCGTACAGCTGAGTGTGCCTTGGAGGCAACTGGGACCCCAGTGATCTCTGAGGGAGATGTCTGCCAGTGTGCCTTCAGCATGAGCTTGCAGTCCAGCCCCAGAGGCTGTAGACTTCCTCCCAAGTGTAAGCCTTGGGCTCTGGAAGCTGCCTCCAGGGAGAAAATGGCATCATAGGTCCTAGCAGATTGGGCCAAGCTCAAGGTTGACCCTAGGGTACAGATACACAAGAATCAGCACAATCTAGGCTATTTCTAAAAATCATCTTGTACTAAATCCCAAAGCAAACCTGTCAGTTGGTTACTCATTGCTGCCATTTGCATCAGGTTAAAAGCAGAACAGCTCAGAGAGCAAGTATTAAAAAAAATATAACACCTAGCTACAAATTAAGCATCCTATATCACTTGGTCCTTTACCTAGATTCATTCTGGCTTAATGGTGGCTTTCCCACTCTAAAAGGAAAACCTGCTACTCAAAGTGCCTTAACCACTCAAAAACACAGGAGCTCAGCCACAACCTTCGAGGGCTGCCAAAAATGGTATGGTTTTAAGCCAAATGCTAACGTGCCATATGATGCTATGCCAGCTGAACCCTGTGGTCTGTGGTGTCTGTGGTTCTGCAGGGTTAGTGAAGGAGCAGCCTGGCTCCCAGAAAATGGGCAGGTGGGTGCTGGTGTGAATAGCCAAATTCACAGGGAGAGCAAGGGCCACCTCCTGCCCCCTCCATCGCTACTGTTGTTCAGGGCCAGCCGTCTTGGTGGTCACCAGCTCAGTGGAGCCCAGCTCTGTGGCTGGCACAGGGACACTGTGGGCAGGTGGGGTGGCATCTGGGTCTTCTCTGGGTGGAGGCCAGACGGGAGTTTTGGCATCAAGCAGTCCAGGGGAGACGATGATGACATTGTCCAGGGCCTCTAGTGGAGGGGAATGCAGGGTCAGGATTGGGTCACAGCCCTCCCCTATCTCTGCTCTGGAAGCCTCTCTGGAGGGACAGCCCTCTGACTGAGAGATAGGTCGATGAAGCCCCACTGCAGGGGTGGGGAGGGGTGGCACATGATTGGCCCTCAGGACAGGAAGTGCTGAGAGCGCAAAATGGGGTGTGCTGACGGAAAGGAAAGGAAGTGTGGGAACCAGTATGGCCATCCCAGAGAGGGCAGGACAGACCCCTCCTCAGACCTGGCTCCCCAGCCTGTGCCCCTTCCTCAGAGGGGTCTGGGAGGCCACAGCTGTGGCCCTCGCTTGGACGGGCAGGACTGTCCCCCTGCTCAGCCTGGGATCCTCAGAGCTCGCGCTTTCCCCCCTCCGTCTGCCTCGCCCCTAGAGCCCTGACTCCCCCTTCAGAGCCCCCCACCCCTTTCACACTGCCCCAATCCCCAAGGCCATGTCTCCCCTGCCTGCCCCATCCCTACTCGGTGTGACCCTCTCGGTTCCCCCAGACACGGACTCACCGTCCTGGTCTCCGTCCGGGGCCTCGGGGGCAGCCACCCCGCCGAGCCGCCGCCTCCGCCACCGCCAGCTCACCAGGCCCACCAGCACCAGGGCCAGCGCCAGCCCCAGCCCCGCGGGGGCGCCGAAGAGTAGCGCGGGGAGCGGCAGCGTGGCCTCGGCCTCGGCGACCCCCGCGCCCACCGACTCCTCCGGCTGCAGAGCCGTGCCAGGCGCCAGGCTGCTCCCCGCGGCTGCTGGAGGGGACGGGGAGGGAGGGCAGGGGGCGGAGAGGAGGGACGGCCGGAGAGGGGGAGGGTCGGAGGGAGGCGAGGCTGGGCCAGGAGGGGAGGGACAGCCGGGCGGGGCGGACAAGGGGAGGAGGAGAGAGGGGACGGTGAGGGCCGCTCGGCGATGGCTGGTCCCCATCGGCCCTCTGCCCACAGCGCCCCGTCAACCTGTCGTCTCCTCCCCCCGTCCTGGGCCAGGTGGGGACTGTGCCTGCGGCCCCGGCAGGGTGGGAGCCTCCGTGGCAGGACCCTCCTCCCCTGCCCAGCGCTGCCTGCGGTCCGGCCGTCAGAGCGGGTCGACTCTTACCCGGTCTAGGCTCGGGCGTCCGGAGGAGCCTGCAGGCCACGCAGTTGCGGACCAGCGGGTCGAAGCACTCGGCCTGGACGCACTGCGTGGGCGCCGACCCGTCCCTGCCCTTGAGGCTCCTCGCCCCTCGCCTCATGCTGCTGATGGCGCGCACACCAGGCGGGGACTGAGTCTGGCCTCCCTGCCCCGGGAGGAAACCGGGAGGGGCCACCGCCCACTCCGCCCCGCCCCGCCCTCCTGCCTGCTGGGGTGGGACCGGCCGCTTGGGTGGGACCACTCTCAGCCAGGCCCCAGGGCCCTGCACCCCAGACCTTCTCTTTCTACCTGTGGTTCCTCCATTCAACCACTCAACCATCACCCCAGACACCCACTGGGCGGGCCCTCTGCTGGGCACCGGGACAGGTCTGGAGCTCAGCCCAGGGCTTGCTTGTGGGCAGCAGAGGATGGGCCCCCTAGACCTCTGGGTGGCTTTCTCTGTCCTGCACCCCAAAGTCAGACCATAAACCCAGGTGATCCCCACCAGCCATCTCCCCTGACCTGCCTCCTCCTCTGGGGAGCCCTCCCACCCTTCCCAGGCAGAGCTGGTTCAGTTCATCAAACCTGTCCTGAGTGCCCACACTGTACCAGGCCCCGAGGGACTCCCACACTGCTGGTGGTTAGGGGGAGACTACGCCTCACAGCAACGGCGTGGTGCAGTTCATCACCGTGGAGGGGACAGGAAGGCTTTGTGGAGGAAAGGAGGAGGTGTTTGCAGGTGGAGTGAGGTCTAGGGGACCATGATAGGGGAGGGGCCCAGTGTGAGCAGAGGCCTTGAGGCCCAAATACAAAGGCCACGGAGTGCTGGGCCTGGAGGGCTGGGCTGGGCTGGGGCCTTGACTGAGGGTTAAGGAGCTCAGACTGTGGCCTGAAGGCACAGCAGGGAGTGTCACAGTCAGAGCTGCGTGTTAGCCAGGAACCTCTGGCTGGAGAAGAGGGCACAGATGAGGTAGGGGGAGGGCAGCCGAGGGTCCAGGGACAGCTCAGTCCCCAGATCGGAAGCAGGAAGAGACTCAGATCAACAGATGAGCAGACAGACAGACAGAGGCCCAGGAGGTGGCCCGCCCACCTCGACTCCTTCTTCCCAGGGCTGTGTGTGTCCTGGCCTGTTCACCTCTGTCTCACTGAGGCCCCTCCTGTCTGTCTCTACTGCCCAGCCTTTGGGCTCCCCCACCTGTCTCTCACCTGTCTCTCTCAGGCACACACACAAGCCCCCTCGGCTTCCTTGACATCTGCTGCCCTCTCCTTGGGGGCAGAGGCTGGCAGAGAGCCTCAGCATGGAGCCTCAGCAGGAGGGCATCGCGGTGGTCCTGCCAGACCCCTAAATACTCAGGGCTGGGGGCCACAGAGGAAGGAGTAACTGTCCAGGGGGTGGGGAGGGGCTTGGGGGCAGGAGTAGATCTTAGCAGCTGCAAGGAGGAGGGAACCCTTTCAGGCAGAGGGACAAGGGCAAAGGCAGGGAGAGGGGACAGGGGAAGCCTTCTCTGGGGATAGGCACGGCCCTGCCTAGGGATGCTGTGAAGGGAGGGAGGGACCCTGAGCCTGCCGATAGGCCAGGCCAGGCCTCGAGCCACAGGCCTGGGCAGTGAGGAGCCCCAGGAGGCATTTGAGTGGGAAGAGATCCTCTGAGTTCTGCTTTAGAAGGTCTCACTCTCTGGCTGCTGCGGAGTTGGCAACTGGACAGGGTGAGGGAGCACCAAGGAGGCTGCTCCATGGTCCAGGGCTGAACGATCTGATCTAGCAATTGTTTAGGAGGAAAGAGTGACGCTGTGGAGTGACGGGGCAAGGCTGGTCCCAGGTTTCTGGTTCAGGGGTCCCCAAGGGCTCTCACAGATCTTGAGGAGCCCTGGCCCACTGCCTCTTCATCCCCTGCCCACGGGCCAACAACTCCGTGGCAGGAAGGTGTAGGCGGTGGGGCAGCTGCAAAGGAGAAGCGGGTGTGGGGTGGTGGGTGTGGGTGCGAGTGTGGGTGTGTGATGAGGGTGTAAGGGAGCCAGGAGCCTGGAGAGGAGCTAGGGCAGAGCAGGTCCTCCTATGGGGTGAAGAGTGGGGCAAGGCTGAAAGACCGGGCGCCAATCCCCACCCCATCATTATTGGTGCTGCTGTTACCTGCTCCCCTCAGGACTGTAGAGCCCTTACTACCCATCGGGCATCTCATCCAACCCTTGTGCCAGACATTCAGGCTGAGGCTTGTAAGACCCAGGAGCAGGGAGAGGGTGGGCCAGTGGGGACAGGTCTGGGGTCATTTCTGTGAGCCACCTCTGCATGGGCTGCACCGGGCCTGACTCCCGTGGCAGAGCAGAGGAGGTGGCCCTCAGGGCCCCGAGCCGAGCCCGAGGGGGACCTTGGCACAGGCCGCACAGGCCACCTTGAGGGAGAAGCGGAGTTATGCATTTGACAGGAGTGTTCACTGGGCCGCCCTGTGTGCCTGCACCGGAAGGTGCCAAGGACAGAGCAGGCCATAGCGAAAGGCCTGTGGGATTTGTATTGGTGGCATGTGCAGGTGCCTGACCCCAGACAAACCTTTTCACTCATGCCTACTAAATGGGGAAGGTGGGGAGGCCTCGAATCTCTGCTTGGACGACTTAGCAGTTAAGAAATTTCATCATCAGACCAATGTGGTCAATGCTAGGTTATTCCTCAATGCATTCTTTTTTTTTTTTTAAATAGCTCTTAAGTCTATTAATTTCTTAATTCATCTTCTGCATCACTTTTTGACTATGACTATGACAACAGAGAGGAGTTCACGTTTCTAAAACCAATGTGACTCTTGCAAATTTTCCTTCTTTTAATAGTTTTTACTTTAAATAATTGGATATCATCACCTTAATGTATTCTTGAGTACAAAATAAGGGACTTTGTTGCTGAAAAACCCTTCTAATTGAATTTGTCTCTTAGTGTTCTGAAGTTTTCATTCACTGATGAATTTTTTTAAAAAGATGATTAATTTGGGGTCTGTCAGGGAAAAGGGAGTCTCCCATGATCTTTGTCTCCCAAATTGCCCCCAAAACACCCTCACAACAGTTCTGACACAGATACCATTATGAAGTCCACTTTTCAGATGGGGAAACAGGGGCTCTGAGGGGCCAAGGGATGACCCAGCACATACAAGGGGCCTGGAAAGGGTCTGTGAAGCGTGGTCTGTGCCCTTCATGCCTCAGGGACAGGGTGGGGAAGTGAGGAAACTCTGGGCCTCTTGGACAAGCTTGGTGTCATGGGGGGCAGTTCCTGGGGGCAGAGAGGCCCAGCCCCCCAGATTTGGATGTGAAAGTGCTCTGAGACCTGGGATGTACTCTGTACTTAAAAATTAGCTTTATTTGTAATTCTGTGAGTAATACCTGAACACGAAAAAACCCTCAAACAATACAGAAGTCTATGAGTAAGAAGGGGCATTTCCCTGCCATCCCCAGAGGGAAACTGTTCTCTCTTTAGAGTCTTCCATTCTGAGACAGCAACCAGCCTAACGAGATAGGGTCATTGGTGAAGTCGAAGTCGCAAGGCCCCTGGCCTCACAAGATAAGGCCCCTAACCAATGGGCAAGCTAGGAGAATCAGATTGAGCCCACCGACATCCACATTCCGCAGCCTCGGGATTCTGGGGCTTACGCATGCGCCCTAGCACCCAGGAGTTGTCTGAGGTGACCCTAGTCCCAGTAGCATAGTAAAAATCACCAGGGGTGAAGAGCTGGCATGCTAACGATACATGCGACATGTGAAGTAGCATGCTGCGTGACAGCACAGGCGCAAGCACCCCACCTCTACGAGCCATGATGGAAGACACATCCCCTGCCCCAGCCTGATGAACCCCCGCAGGATGGCTATTTGGGGAGCCACTCACTTCTCTCTCTCTCCCTTCTTTTTGTGATTGGCTCCCTTGTGCACAAGATAATAAATTGTCTATCTTCTCACTCTTGCTCCTTGTCTCTCTTGATTTCTATCCCGCGGGACAGCAAGAACCCAGGGCACTGGTAACAATTCCAGCCTTGCTTTGTGGTTTAAATTCTCATGTATGTGCATGTAGAAACCAGGCTTTGTGTTTCTTAAAGGGGGCCCCACCGTGTGAACTGTTCTCTTGGTCTTCCCCATCCCCCTCAGCCAGGTGGGCCGGGGCAGAGGGCCTGAGTGCCTCGTGTTGGCTCCCTCCATCTTACTTTGTCACAGTGGCCTGATCCCCAGAGTAGATTCTCTTTGCCTTTCTCGTGTATTTAGCTCTGACAAACAGGACACTGGGAGAAAGCACCCATCACAGGGGATAGCGGGAAGGATGAGATGTTGGGCCTCTGGACACTGGGAGAAGGGCAGGAGAGGCAGGGGGATCAGTATGAAGTCCTGGGGAGGCCAGAGAGACCCCGGCCCCCCTCCCCTTGAACCCAACCGTGCAAGGGCAGGTCATGCCCTTCCATGAAGCAGTTACAGAACCCACGCCCAGGTTTTCACAGGCCCAAGCTGCCCATCCTCAAGCCCCCATCCTCCCTACACACACACACACAAATACACACATGCGCGCGCGCGCACACACACACACACAATCCAGCACTGTGGGGGTTCCTGGCCAGGGCAGCCCCAGCAGTCCTCTCAGCCCAGCCATGGGATGGGGGATGGTGCCCTCTACGTGAGGTCAGAAAGGAGACCCCGGCCCCTTAACATCTCAGCTACAGGGAGTGGAGGCCCCACCTGGGGGCCAGGCCTGCAGGTGTGGAAGGTGGAAGGCTGTGAGGCCTGGGTGGGGAGAGAGAGGAGCAGGGAGCCTCCCCAGGGACTGCCCCTCCCTCAGGCTTCATTCAGGGCGCCACCCAGGAGGAACAAGGAGCCCTCGGGCTCTGGGCCTCCTGCAGGCTTTTGGCTGTGTGTGAATGCACAGACACTTGCATTCATTCTCCAAATACTTACTGAGACCTACTATGCACCAGGCACTGTTCTAGGTTCTGGGGAGACAGAGGAACCACAGAGACAAAACCCAAATGGAGACAAAACCCAAACAGTGAAACCACACCATAGGTGAGGAGGTGAGAAGTGCTGGGGAGGAAAAATTCTGGAGGGAAGGGTAGCAGGGAGGGCCAGAGTCAAGGAAGGCCTGGGGAGACCTCGGAGGTGAGAGTGATCCCTGAGGACATCTTGGGAGGAGCAGACGAGGCCCAGGGAACCACACAGCACCAGGAAAATGGCAGCACGCAGTACTGACCCTCACCACCTGCGGGGCCCTGTGCCCTGGCACGCGCCCGCACCCCTTGCTTCAACCCTGTGGGGCAGGTGGCATGGCGATTCCTCCTTTACAAAGAGGAAAGCAAGCTCAGAAGGATAAGAGATGAGCCAGGCAGCCTTGCGGGCCCTGAGCTCTCCCACCACTGCTCCCAGGGTACCCACATCTGCGGGGTCCTCTCCCTATCAGCAGATGGGGGGTGTGGTTAGGCCCAGCCCTTGAGGAGCCAGTGGCTGAGCAAAGTAGAGGAGGACCAAGTGCTGAGTGACCCCTCTGGGCCTGGCCTTGAGGGCCATTATGCAGTCAGACCGAGCATCTTCCAAATGTTAGCTCCCAGGGCCCCCCAAATGCCTTTGGCATTCCCCCTGACATAAGAGGGTGGCCCCAAGGAAGGCTGCCCCCTGTCCAGGTCAGGGGCCCTGGGGACTGAATGCCCACCCCCTCTCCCTCCCAGAGCTGGTCCTCAGTAGCCCCCATCCATAGGGTCACACTCAGGCGGGGCTCACAGATTTGGGGGGTGCAGGGCCTGGCAGCCCACCACACTGTCTCCCTCGGCCTCTCCTCCTCCACCCCTCGCGTCTCCAAGTGTCTGTGAGAAGTCCTTTCACAATGATTCTCTGCCTGTACCCTTAGGGCCCCAGGGGAGACTGAGGGGAGGGGGTTAAGCCGGCAGGTGCCTTGTGGAAAGGGTCCCTTTGTGCGGGGGTCCCACCAGGGAGGCGGCCCAGCACCAAGTGTATGTGGGGAGGGGCAGGGCTTTATCTCAATAACTCCCAGCACTCATCAGCCCACGACACCCCTGGGTACAACCAGCCAACGCTCGGGGCCACTGTCTGGAGGGCTCACATGGGGCAGGTGTGGTGTCAGGCTCTTTGGTTTCCCTGAGCCTCACAAGAATCCCAAGAGGCCGTGGAGCTCAGGGACAGGAAGAGCTGCCCCAGGTCACACTGCAGGTTGGCTGCAGACCCCAAGTCAGTGGGACTCAAAGGTCGGGTCCTTTCCCACTGCATCACTTCCCCTCTGGGGCCAGGCTGCCCTGCGTAGCCCCAGCCCCAGGCTGCCCCTGCCTCTGCTCGCTGAGGGGTGAAGGAGACACAGGTGCCCTGCTGCAGATCCCCCTTCTCACCAGGGACGCCTGGCCTCCTTGGCACGGGTGGGAAATACCATCAGGTGGGGGCCAGAACACTTGGGCCTGGGCTGCCTCCTACGGAGAACGGAGAACGTGAGCTCCCTGGGGCTGGGCCAAGGCTGCCCACAACCAGGTGGCCTGAGGGGACAAAAGAAGCTACGAGTCTGAATAAGCCCTGCCCCTCTCAGAGCCTCATCCATACAGTGGGGGGCCCACCCCCCACTCCTTCCTCTGTGCTCTCAGAGAGCACGGACCCGCAGCTTCCAGGTCCAGCTGAAGGGCATCTCTTCCAGGGGTCTTAGGCTGCCCACCCACTCATACCTGCAGTCCTCCCTCAGTAACTGCCTCCGATGTGACCATCCTGTGAGCGGGGCCAGCCTGAGAGGTCTTACATTTGGTTAAAGGTTTATGTTTAAAATAATGGCTTCTCGGGGCCGGCCCTGTGGCTTAGCGGTTAAGTGCGCGCGCTCCGCCGCTGGCAGCCCGGGTTCGGATCCCGGGTGTGCACCTACGCACCGCTTCTCCGGCCACACTGAGGCCGTGTCCCACATACAGCAACTAGAAGGCTGTGCAACTATGACATACAACTATCTACTGGGGCTTTGGGGGAAAAAAATAAATAAATAAAAATTAAAAATAAAATAAAATAATGGCTTCTCATTCTCAGTCCTCACAGCTGGGGAGAAAGGCATTCATTAGCCTGGCCCCATCCTATGGATGAGGAAATTGAGGCTCACTGAGGGTAAGTGACTTGCCTAAGGTCATGCGATCAGTCAGCAGCCAAGCACAACCTCTCCTACCTCCCCCTGCCCCACCACAGCACCAAGCACCAATTCTGGCACTGCGGGGGCATAAAGACTGTCTTCCTTTACTTCCCTTTGTCAACCTGCCTCCTGGACAGTGTCACCGGCCTCCAGACAGCGCAAAGCAGCCCCACTCTCTGGCTGGGGGCAGCAGGGGTTGCTCAGCTCTACTGAGGCAGAGGTGGCCTCTCGGTCCCAGGGCCCCTGCTAAGCTCGTGGGAGCTGGCAGCAGTGACAGCATCGTGTTCCCTCAGCACTTGGAAGGCTCCCAGATCCTTGGCTGGAAAATGCGATACCACTTCTCTTGTTAAATGGCACCAGGTGGCAAAGAAAACGTGGCACAGGGACCAGAGAGAGAAGTGCGCCCTGTGCTGGCTAGGGGAGGCTAGGGGGCATGGGGGGGACCTCCCCTTGTCTCCAACAAAACATGACGTGCCTGGAATAGGAAGGCAGGCCGCGTCCACACCGTCTTCCTCTCCTGCTTGGACACCATGCTCCATCAGCCCCCAGACCTTTCCTCCCCTCCCTTACGCTCCACACTGCCCCGCAAAGCCCATCCTTTATGGCCCAGTCTGGTTTCTAGGAGGCGCCACCAGTCCCTCTGAGAAGGCCCCCTCTCCTGAAACTCTGCAGATCCTGCCCATCCCCTGAGACCAACACACACTTTAACCTCTCACCTCCAGCCTCCTCCTTCAACTCTGGACCCACCCAACCTGAGCACAGAAGCTGGCCTCCCTTCCCGAAGGCAGAGGGAGTTCCTTGCACCGGCCGCAGGGGTGCTCAAGCCCCACGCTTGCCCCCGTCCTCCTGGTGGGGGCCAGCGCTCTTACCCTGCTCACTGCCCTCTCCTCCACGAAGCCTGGCCTGGCCTCTACAACCTCTGCAACCTCCCTGTGCTAACGGGTACCAGCATCCTGTCCTGAGGGACGGACCCCAACATATGGCAGTGGAGCTTTAGAGACGCCCTTCCCACGGCTGCTTTCTCAGCTACAAGGCCTGTGTCTCCTCTACTTGTGTGCACCCAGCTCAGGGCCTGCCCAGCAGAAATGCCCAAATCTTTGTTCATCCATTAGGCACATGAGAAAACAACCCAAGGGAAAAAGTAGAGGACTGGGTGGTTGGCTCTGCCGCTGGTTAGCTGTGTGACCGTGGACACACCTCTGATTACAAGTCTCAGTTTCATTAACTGTGAAATGGGGAAACATCAACCTCACAAGTCTGCTGGGAGGGTGACAGGAGCGACTTTGTGAGAAGAGCTCTGTAAAGCGTGAAGTGCCTTGCAAACGTCAGGTGACATTTGGGACCTCAACCGGAATCCCTGCAGCTGAAGTTCTCGGCAGGGCCCAAGAGGCTACCTCAAAGACAGTCAGGTGTCTGCAAAACCTGACCACTATGGGTGGGGCGTGGTGCTAGGTTCTGGAAGGAACCCAGGGAAAGGAGAAAGGCAGGGCCCTACCCTCATGGTGCCTGCCACGAGATTCCGGTTGGCCCATCCTTCAGTGAGGAGCATGAGGTCCGGCTGCGATGCTGATGTCAGAGCAGAGAGGCCCTGCGGTGCTGGCACTGCCCCGGGCATCCAGTAGGGAGCGGCCAGAGGTCTGGGCATGGAGGGCAGGCCCAGCTCCAGCAGGTGGGGGTAGGGAGGGCACCATCATGCCCCAAGGGAGCCAGGACCGGCTCTCTGCCTGAGGTCTCTTCCACCAGCCCTCGTGTTCACTCTCCAAGCTCCCACATGCCCAGTAGGCCCCAGAGGAGTGGAGAAGCCCCAACCTGGCTGAGAGGATTTCTGGACTCCAATCCTGGCACTTCCACAAATTCTAATTAGACTCAAGGGAGGAGGAAAGCAACAGTCATTGCACAATCTCGCTGCCAACCCAGAAACCAGCCTCCGGCCGGCTCCTCATACTTACTTCTCACAGATTTATGAATTCACAAACAGTGTAATTCCTGGATTTGCGCCAGTTTTTGAACTTAGGTCTGCGTGATTTCAGATAACAGTTACTGCTCACTGAGAGCTCTGCCGGCACCATGCGAGGCCTGAATACAATTTATTAGGAAAGACACCAAGCATGCATTCAGGGATCGGGGTAACACAAGCTCAGGCACGTCACCTCTGTCACTTCATTCAGTCCTTGCTACGCAACAAGGAGAGGAGAACACTCTCCATTTTACACCTGGGGAGACTGAGCCTCTAAGAGGCAGCACAGCATCTGCGGGAAAGGCGAGGCCAGGACGTGGAGTCAGGCTGGGTGCACAGAGTCCAAGCCCCTCCCCCGACCCTGCTCGCAATTGTTCTGAGTCAGTTTCCTCATCTGCAAAATCAAAGTGGTGGGTGAGACCAGTGATTTTCAAACTTTTTTTAGCTATGGACTCTTTGTTCAAATGAAGTCTTAAGTGGAGATGCAGTACGTCAGATGGATCAAGACACAGGGCTCTGCTGGAGCGAGCGTGGAGTGGGTGGGGTGCTGGAGTCCCACCAGCTGGACCCCCTCCTTCCCCAGCACGCCCTGCTGGAGGGCAGAGGAGTTTGGGCCCCGCGGGGAACTGACCGCTGACCCAGAGCCTCTCAAGCCGTGACCTGGTCCGCAGCAATAGTGCATGTTTACTGAGCCAGGCACCAAGGTGTGGGGAGGGGCAGCCTGGGGGCCGGTGGCCCTCACAGGTCCTCCAGGGAGGGGTTCTCAGAGCTCCTCAGCAGGGACAGCAGGTTCAGGGCCGAGACGCCAGGCACGTGGCCAGCGCAGATCTGCAGCATACGTACCAGGCGCTGCGCCATGGTGGCTCGGAAGCCTTCCACCTGCAAAGGAAGAGTAGAGAACAGCGGTGAGGCAGAGCCAAGGCGGCCAGCCCTGCTCCCCTGACACAGAGCAGGTGCATGGGCTGCCAGAGGGGAGCTGGGGGCCAAGACGTGGGGACAGCTCAGAACACCACTGTTCATCATAGCCATGCCCTTGTCCATGGCACACCGCACCAAGCAGCTTCCAACCACCTCTGCTCACCAAATCCTTCCAACACCCTCTGGGGACACCGAAACAAAGGCTTATAGCAAGCAGGGCTGGCAAGGTCAGGTAAACTGCCTAGAGTCACACAGTGACAGCAGAGCTGGGATCTGAACTAGGGCTAGTCGCAACCAATGCCTGGGAGGCACAGGCCCCAAGAGCTCCCTTAGCTGGGATCTGGGATGGAAAAGAGGGGTGGACAGAGAGCGACCCTCTTCGGGTATAGGAGGGTGCCATCGACAAAGAGTGCCTTTATCAGGGCTTTTGAAGGGCTGGCGGGCCCAGAGGAGCTGTGGGGTTAGATAGGGGCAACAAGACTGTTCCAGGGCTTGGCACCAGCCAAGGGGTGGCCTCAGAAGCATCTCCTCTTTCCCCTGTTCCCTCTCTAATGGGGAAGGGGGCATCACCACCCACCCAGTCGTCGGAACCCGAGACCGGGCATCCTCAAGTCCTCCTGATTCTACTACACCATTTGTCACTCATAACCTCCGTGGTTCTAAGTCCGCAGGTAACGTCTCAGTCCCCATCGCACGGCCTCATTCTCACCGAGATTCTCCTCTAGGCAGCATCTGACGCAGCTGCTCCCTCCCTCCTTGAAATGCTTTTCCTACCTGGCTCCCAGGACCCCCACTCCCCAGCTTTTCCTGCCACCTCACAGGCTGCTCCCTCCTCTTTGTCCAACTTCTAAATGCTGGGCCCCAGGGCTTGGCCTGTGCATCTCTCCTCCCCACACTCAGTCCTCAGGCGACCTCAACCAGTTCCATGGCTTTAAAACGATCCAATTGCCGAGGATGCCCAAATTACATCTCCAGACCTTTCCTCTGAATGTCAGACACGCGGATGCAGCTGCCTAGTCAATTTCCGCGCAGGCGTCTGACAGACACTTAATCGTAGCACATCCAAAATGGAGTTCCTGGGAGCCCCCTAAACCTGCTCCCCCTGCAGTCATCCCATCTCTGCCAAGGGCAACTCCCTCCTTCCAGCTGCTCAGGCTGAAAACTCCAGAGCCGTCCTTGCCTCTTCCTTCTCTCCTGTCTCACCTCCAGGCCATCAGCGCATTCTGTTGGCTCCACCCTGGAAACACCCAGTAGTGTAAACCACCCCATCCCCTCTTCCCCCGGACACGAGTCCGGGCCACTCTTAACTCTTCCAGAAATAGTCCCCGGCCCTGTCTCCTTATTTCTGCCCCTGCCTCCTTCAGTCTACTCTCATCCCAACACTGGAGGGACCCACTTAAACCCGAGTCAGGCGCATCCCTCCCCCCACCCACATCCTCTGGCAGCTCGGGTTTTACTCCAAGTAAAAGCCACTGCTTTCACTGTGACCCACAAGGCCCTCCTGCCCTGGCCCCCGTCACTCTGCCCATCTCCACTGCTCCGTCCTTTGCTCTGCTGTAGCCACCCAGGCCCCTGTGGGACCTTGAACTCACCAGGCAAGTTCCAAACTCAGGGCCTTTGCACTGCTCTTGCCAAGTATGCCTTCTATCAGGAGTCTCCATGCTTGCCTTCTTACCTCCTTCAAGTCTTTACCTAAGCGTCACTTTTTTAGTGAGCACCTCCCCGCCCCCGACACCCTATCTAAATCTCACTGCTTACCACCACCTGACAGGTCACATCCCCATTCTCTCGTACGTTCCGCATTCTACTTCTTTACTTTGTTTCTTCCACTAGAATAGAGCTGGTGTTTATTTTTTTTTTTTACTGTTTTGTTTTATGCTGCATCCCTAGAGCCTAGAACGATGCTTGGCCCACTGTAGGGATATAAGAAGTATTAGTTGAGTAAATTCTCTTACTCTAAGTTTTGTGGCCTTTGCTCTAAAATATACCCCCAAGCTGCTGCTGCTCGGGCCCAGGCTCCACGGCCTGCCTCCCACAGCAGCCTCGTCCCGGGCTTCCTGCCTCTGGCCAGCCTCCTCCATCCACATATCACACTCCAGAGACGTGGCCCCAAAACCTGTCCGACCACATCACGACTGCCCCATCACCTACAGGAGGGAATGACTTACATCCACTGCCAGGCTTCCAGAGCCCTGCAGATCCTTCTGCTGCTACATGTATTACACGTCAGACTATCTCGCTAGATTCCGAGAGGGCAGGGTTAGTGACTCACTCATCTGTGTTCTCCAGGACCAGCATAGGGTCCTATCGGCAGATCTAGCAAAGAATTTCACTGGGCGATTCCCACACCTCCCTGGGCATGTTTCCTCATCTGTAAAACAGGGTCAATAATTCCTGCCACGCAAAGGCCTCAAAATGCGGCAAAGCTCAAACTGGATTATGCAGAGGAGGAGTGTGCCCTGAAAAGGACAAGATGGATCTGAGGAATGACACTGTCCAAACACTGGGTGCTGCACCCTGGGAATGCCAGGTCTGTGTTCTCAGCAGGACTGCCGCTGGCATAAATAAACCACTGCCACAGGCCTTTTTCTTGAGAGTTCTCAGGCTCCAGGAAGACCCAGGACCTGGTATGGCCTGCCACCTCCTGGCCACATACAGAACTGCACCACCCATCTCAAGGTTAGTGGGCACCATGGCCAGCGAGGGCCATCCATGCGCACCTGAGCTGTGGAGCAAAGATTATGATTTCCCTTTAGAGATAAGAAGACTAGGGCTGTGCAGGGAGCAGGAAGGAACCTGTTTAACGCCACACAGTCAGCAGGCTACGATGGGCGTACCAACCTGCCGGCTCTCCCGCTTGCTCACTAGCTGCGTGACTGCAAGCAAGTCACCTCTTCTCTGAGCCTCGGTTTTCTCAGGATTGTTGTGAGGAAAGCCTGGCAGAGGCCTGGCAGGGGCAGGCACCTCAGGCATGCCTCAGGCCTCAGCGTCCCACCTGAGATCCGAGCGTTGGTCTAGTCAGGGGCTCTTAAAATAGTCACCAAATATGAAACAACTTTGTGATAGAGCAGTACGGGCCTCTTTATGGACGCATGAATAAGGAGATGTAGGGCCAGTCTAGTGACCACTGCAACAATGGAGTGATGAGATAGCCCCAACCATCATGTAACATGGCAACACCTGCCCCTTCTATCGGTAACAGTCACAGATTTGGCTAACACTACTGACATCTCTTGCCTACATTCATAATCTAAATCTTACCTAGAGATTAGTGAAAAAAAGAAGTAATTTTTTTTCTCATCCAAGTTCACAGATTCCTTGAATTCTACCCTCAGACCAGAGGGGTCCACAGACCCCACAACAAGAACCTCTGGTCTAGATGGTGGTGAGGGACTGTGTGCTGACTCAGTGCTCTCTGCTTTATGTCACTTTGCCTTTGGGAACAGGTACAAGACCGAGAACAGAGCAGAAATACAAATCTTCAAAACGAACCTCAAAACCAATAAACAGACCCCCAAACCAACTGAGCAGGCCTGGTGCACGGGTGGGGCAGTCCAGGCCATGGGAGCCCTCAGCAGACCTCCCAGAGGGAGCAGCAGCAACTCCTGCTGAGGACCCTTTAGCAAAAAGTCGTCAGGATTCATCCAGCAGAAAGAGAGGCTGAAGAGTAAAACTTATCAGCAAAACAGAAATCTGCTTTGCTATCCTCATACTTAGGGTTCACCTCATGAGAAACACAAATAGAAGTGAGTCAGGGCAGAACCAACACAGTATGTGTCCATCCAACCATCTACCCACACACCCACCATACCTGCTGCCTCAGGGACGCCTGGCCCCGGGCTGGGACTGGACAAGGTCTACAATCCAGGGAGGTAAGGGGGACGTCGGGCATTCTGACTGCCGGGGGACATGAGGATACACCAGTTAATGAGACAGACAAGAAGCCGGGGCCTCACAGCACTTACAGCCAGCGGGAGAGTGAGATATTAACATGGACCCACAAAGACATACACAGACTCAGTTACGAGCAGAGAGAAAACAAAGCAAAGGTAAGGCCATAAGTAACAGCGCCTGGCACATAAGAGGCAGAAGATGAAAGCACAGTATCACCCCACTTTACATCTGTGTCCCCCAAGGCTTAGGGGGACCCACCCAAGGTCACAGCCAATGAACGGAAAAGCCAGGATTCAAACCAGGATCTTGTGTCTCCACCTCAGGTCCCCCTCCCCTGGGGACACGACGACCCTCCAAGAAGCATTCCTGTCACACCCACTGTGTGCTGACTGTCCTTTCCCTGCACCCGCATGATCAGTGTCCTCACCTCCAGGTCACAGAAGAGCAGGGGGCTTCGGTAGGTGTGGGCCAGCTTCGCCACGGTGTTCCGGTGAACACTGCAGTGGCTCTCCCGTCCGGCTGCAAAGAAGCGGGAGTGCGACGGGCTGAAATTCAAGAGGCCCTGGGCAAAGTAATCCACTTCCCCTCTTGGGGCCTCCGTCTCTTACTAGTCAGTGGGTGACAGTCCTGTTCACTTTCTTCTCAGGGCAGTCAAGATCATCAGATTAGAAAATAAGGCTGAAAGGGCTTTGAGAGAGTGCTCTATGAAAACACGAGTGTCCTCATCTATAAAATGAGCAGCGTAACAAACCCTACCCCTGAGCTACTTAGAGATTCAGTGAATGAATATATAGAAATGACCTGTAATTCATTTATTCACTAAGACTTATAGAGTATAGTCTGTGGCAGGCCCTCCCCCAAGGAGCTCCCAGTTCAGCTGAGGGGCAGACAGGTCACACACACCACAGGTGTAGGTGGACAGGTAGGGTTCTCTGACAGAGGTATGCGTGGGATAAATACCCTGAGGGCCCAGACTGTAGGGTTGGTTGGGGGGCATCCCTCAGAAGGCAGAAAATAGGGGTTTGTTAGATAAAAAAGAGGAAAAGAGAATTTGCAAGAAGCCATATGGTATAATCATGAAGGGCACAGGCTGTGGACTATGACTCCCTAGGTATGGACATTAGCTCTCCCACTTTTTAGCTGTGGGGCCTCGGGCAAGTGACTTAACCTCAGGACTATAATTTCCTCAGCTACAAAACGGAGATAATAATACCCACCTCAAAGGGTTGTTTGTTGTGAAGATTAGGTGATACGGAAACAGCACTTAGGACAGTGTCTGGCATACACTGAGTGCTCCCTAAGGGTGAGCTACTATGATTGCCACTGTGAAGATCACCAAGTCTCAGGAACAGCAGGGCTTGTTAGAGAACTATAAGCTGCACCAGAGAATGGGAGAGTAATAGATGAGACTGGACAGCAAGGCAGAAGCCAAATTGCAAATGCTTGTGCCTTTACAGGAGTTTGGAATTTACTCTGAAGCCACAGGGAACCACTAGGCAATTCTAAGTAATTATCTCAGCAGAATTAACTCAGCAGAATGATCTGCTCAGATTTGCTTTTAGCAAGACTGACAACAGGTCATATTCCAAAGTCCATGTTCTTTCCATCAGCCAGGCTGCCTTAGCAAGGAGGCCACTACAACGCCCAGCCACACACTGCCTTTGGTGCGCGGTGGGAAGCGGCAGGTGGGGGATGCACTCACCGCCTGTGGCGAGGAAGCCCACCTTCCCCAGGAAGAAGGCAGCGTCCACATGGTGCAGGGACTCCTCCACGTTCCGGAGGCTAGGGTGGCCAGGCCAGGGCGAGAAAACAAACCAGAGGACAAACCTTACAACAGAGAAGGCAGAAGCCCTTGCTCCTCATTCCAGAGGCCAGAGAATGGAAACAGGAAACAGCCCTAGAGGAATATTTTGTCCTTTCCTTTTTTTTTTAACTACTTTTAATTACAAAGTGACTCAAGCCTGTAAAATAATCAAATAGTAAATATGGACGTGTAAGAAAAAAGTAAGTCCCCCTCTTCAGCACCACCCTTCGGTCTCAACTCCCCAGAGGTAACTGTTGCCAACAATGCTGGGTGTAATTCTTCTAGAAATTTTTTTCATATGCAAATAGACAGTGATACATATAAGTATCGAGTTGGGTTTAGCTGGGTTTGATGTATCTGTTATATTCTTTGGAATGCCCACACAGCACCATAATCTGACTATTTTCCCAGTGATGCCACTGACGTGGTCTCCAATTTTTCCCCATGACAAAGAATGCTGCATGAATATTCTTTTACACATATCCTTCCACATCCAAGCAAGTGTTTCTGTTTCTATAGGACAGAGGCTAGAAGAATGGCTGGGTCACAGTATGTGTCTTGTTTTTTTTTTGGTGAGGAAGATTAGCCCTGAGCTAACATCTGTTGCCAATCCTCCTCTTTTCGCTGAAGAAGACTGGCCCTAAGCTAGCATCTGTGCCCATCTTCCTTTATTTTATGTGGGACACCTGCCACAGCACGGCTTGATGAGCAGGGCGTAGGTCCATGCCTGGGATCTGAACCCGCAAACCCCAGCCACCGAAGTGGAGCATGCAAACTTAACCACTACACCACTGGGCAGGCCCCAGTATGTGTCTTTTAGAAATGTGTACAGGTACTGTTAAATTGCTCTCCAATAAGGTTACAGTATTTACAGTCATATCAATTGTATGAAAACACTCTTTTCCTCTAAACAAGGGCACTTTGACCTTTCAGGCCAAAGCTTTCATTCACTGGTGTCCAGGGAGTGATGAAGGAATCTGTTGTTTCCTGGCCAAAAAGTCATCTGGGTCAGGGGGCCCAAACCAAGGTTTCAGCATGAATGAACAAGGCCTGAGGCCAGTAGCAACAATGGCCTGCTCCTAAGTGTCCCTTTTGGTGAACAGAGAGGTCTTACCCAAAGAGCAACAGACTTGCTGAGCCAGGACCCTCAGCAGTCATGGCAGATCTCAGATCTCAGCCCTTTCTCAGCCCCCCAGGGGCCTAAGTCACTGTTAACTAGTTCCAAGGGGTCAGGTAGCAAGTCTGGATGGAACCCTGATGCTATGGGTATTTGGTGTCTCTATGTCCCTGGTTCCCAGGTGTTTCCACCACAGCCATCCCTCATCCCCCAGAACATGACCAGGTGATTGCCTTGGTTCTTGTGCTGGACCCTGTGCCCTGCCCTCAGTCAGCCATCCCCCAGGAGGGAGAGGGTAGACCTTCCCTCTGTACTCCCTAGGCTGGCTGCAGTCCTGTCCCCAGGGTTCCCAGCATCAAATGGAGGCCAGGCCAGCCACAAGCATCACCACCACTCACGCTGCCACTGCCACGGCCCCATACTAGACAGGCTCCTGACCTTGCACAGGCCCTAACATCCCCCAAACACACTGCGCTCCTCTACCCTTTACATTAACCCTTCACCTGGAACATTCCGCTCACTCCCATCTTTACCTGGCTAACTAAACCTGGTCACCTACACCAGAAAGTGTACCCTGACCACAGTCCTGAAAGTCAGAGGTCTTGTTTAGGCTCTCACAGCCCAACACTTCCTTCCTTTACAGCACACATCCCACGTACTGGAACTGTTCACAAGTCTAGCCCCCGCCCAACGGGCCAGGAGCACCTTGAAGACAGGGGTCTGGTTCATTCATCTCTGTGCCTGCTATCAGTGATAAAGTTGGCCTCAGAGAGCATCAGCTAAATGACTGGTGACACTGCTGGGATTTGTCAGTGTCTTTTAAACATTGAGTACTGGCCACTGGCTCCCTCCTTCTCATCCCCTAAGTTAACCCCAGGCAGCCTCTCCCTGTTTCCTCTCCTTCTCATCACAAGTGAGGTCACCATCCCAGCACACCCCTAAGCCAGCTCCTCTTGAGCCCTGACAATCCCCATCCCCTGGCTCTCACCTGTATTTGCTGTGAAGGTTGACCACGAACACAATCAGGTCAATTCGGGGCCGAGTCACATTGGAGGGGAGAGGGAGGGACTTTGCCAAGTGGCTGAAAAACAAGAAATTGCAGGACTAGATATCCGTACCCATATCACAGTGACCTTTCATAGGCTGCCCTTTCTAGGGGAAGAGGCTGTCAAGGGCTCTTCACCTATTCACCTGATGCCCTTGTGGGCAAGGCTCCTAGGTCAGCACAGGGGCAAGGCAGAGCTAGTCCTGTCCACATCACTCCTGTCTGACGCCCTCTGCCAGGAAAGAGCTCTGGTTAGTAAGTGCCTTGGCAAGTGGGAGTTTTGGATATAAGATGGCATGGGGCTATGTGCTGGGAGGGAGACCAGGCTCAGAAGATGGGGTGTTGGACTGTAACATTTAGGGGTTAAGACTGAAACTCTCTGGAGTGTGACAAAGTGAGCTCAAGTTCCAGTTCAGTGCCAGTTACCAGCTATGTGACCTTGGGCAAGTCACCCTCATCATCCTCGTCTGGACTTGGTCTCTGGTTGTCAAATACCCACCTGAAGGTTTTTCTTGAACCCTCTACTTCTGCCCATTTCCTCTTATTCCTATCACCCATCTCCTCTTACCCCCCAGCTTATAATTCAAGAAATACCAAAAAGTACAAAAAATACAAAAGCTAAACACACACACACACACACACACACTCCTAAAAGTCCAGTTACCTAGAAATTACTATTAACATTAGAACATTTTTCTAAACATCTCTTCATGTACATAATGTATACACATTCAGATACTTGGATATAATCTAAAACAGAATAGTATTAATTTAATTTTATTTGAATTTAATGGATACAAAATAACTAAAGTAGAACTGGAAAAAAATAGATAAAACAATGAGTAAGTTAGTATCATTTTTAAGTTAACATCATTTTAATATGTTTCAATTTTATCTATATTGGATTGAGTCTCTAGTATGAAAAGTGAGAAAGTTAACAATCCTATAATTTAGGGCACAACTTACCATTTGGACATGACTTACAAATGTATGTTTACATTATTATCATATATATTTATATTTTGCTCTAACTATAACTTTGGATCCAGGCTGATGAAGCTGCCTCTCTGGAACACTGCTGATTGCCATGGGAGAGGCAAAGCGTGCTGAAAAGGGTCTCTCACTGGCAATTAAATGCTTCAGCAATAAAGAGACAATCAATTTTGCTCACAACTCATTGGTCAGAAATAGTCACATGGCTCTACACACCCACAAAAGGTCAAATGCTCCAAATGTGGAGAGCTGGAAAAATTTGGCAACAGAATGAACAGATGACCGTATGGGTGATTTGCTTTTCTTGCCTAAAAGACTGAAGAATTATTTATCCTTGAAGTTCAATAACTTAACTAGGATATAATGTGACATAAAGTGTTCTGTACCCATTTTCCTTCTTAATGGACAAATTCAACTCTTCATTCATTTCAGGGAAGTTTTCTTCTATTACATCTTTGAACACTTTTACTGTGATTTTCTCAACTCTTTCTTTTCTGTAAATAATTAAGTCTTCAACCACATCTACTCTGATCCTTGCTGTTTCTATGCATCTATTAGATAGATCTCATATGGTATTATTTTGGGCCCTTTTTGCCCTTAGCTCTGTAATCTCCTTTTCCCTCTCATTCTGTTGTTTTATCATTTGGTCTTTGAATGCTTCTTTTAAAAATTCATGTTCTGGGCCAGCCCGGTGGCACAAGGGGTTAAGTGCACACGTTCTGCTGCGGCGGCCCGGGGTTCGCTGGTTCGGATTCCGTTAGTGCACCGACGCACCGCTTGTTGAGCCACGCTGTGGCGGCGTCCCATGTGAAGTGGAGGAAGATGGGCACGGGTGGTAGCCCAGGGCCAGTCTTCCTCAGAAAAGAGAGGAGGATTGGCAGATGTTAGCTCAGGCCTGATCTTCCTCACACACGCACACAAAAATTCATGTTCTTATCAAATTTCTCAATGGCACAAAACACTGAACAGGAGCTTTCTTCTCCTTTTTCTGTATCTTCTTCCCGAGCGGGTACTTTATCAGATTTTTGCATGTCTTGTGACTAGCCCTTTTCTGACAACAGTTTCCATGACACTTCTTTCCATCTTGTTTATGCTCAATGCAGGCACTTTTGTCCACATTTTCCATTTACTCTGATGCTAATTAAACGAATTTTTTTTTTATCCTTTCCTCTTTTTTTTTTTTTTT